AACTTTCGCCACCAGTAAAAACTAAAGTAAAATACTACATAAGATACGTTGACAGTCTGCGGGTCGGTGACCGGGGAGGTGGAGGAAAAAAGAACAAATACGTCTGAACGCTAAAAAGCAGAAAAGTTCTTCTTGCGATGATGGCAATAGTAGAAAGGGGCCGCGTGTTCGAGATAACCAACCTTTTGTACTTAACTTTGACACGCGCCCATTTTTCACTGGACAGGAGACTTCCATTGTTACCAGATTAGAGAACAACCCGCAAACTGATAAGAAATAGGAAATGCCTCGAGATAAAATGACTTTATACTTTCGGTTATCGGCATAATGTTTGTTTATTCGCGAAAAACCGTTTAGAAGTCGATTTCATTCAAAAGAGCTTTGTAACACGTACGTGATCATCTACGTGAATCAATTTATCTTTTTGAAACTACTGACTACTTAAATATTAGGACATAGAAAAGACGTAACTAGTAGGGCCGACTTTCTTCTTCAATAAATAAGCCTGAGTCGTTGTTTGATAACGGTTGCACCACAATATTTGTTTAAATTTTTCTGTACATTGCTAACTTATGTTTTAATTTAATTCTGTAAAAACAATCCTTGTGATTTTTATATTGCTCTCGTTGTTTCATTTTGGCCAGACTCTCTTGAAATCATAAAGAAAATGTAAAAGGAAAAAGATTTCGACTCTATTATTCGGTCGAAGGAGAATATGGTAATGATTCTCATGCGCAAGCGTAGAGCTGCTATGCTTGGACTGCGCAAGTTCTTACGTAAGCCAGGAGCCCATGGGCTCCTGCGTAAGCCCAGATAGCAGTTTGATATCATTCTCGTCTCCAGAATCTCCGTTTCCTTTGGTCATATGTGGTCGGCGAAACGGACAGCGTCAACGACATTTGAGGTAACGAGAATAGTTTGATACCTGATTGACAGCTTGGACCAGGTCAACATAAAAGAGCGAAAGCAGAATCTTAGGGCGCTTTCCATTCGACCAAAATTTCCGGTGTGAATTTTGGGAAATTTTATGAGGCGAATGCAACAGAATTTTCCGGTTGACTGCACCAGAGTGGAAAGCGATATGTCGAACTTTTTTTCGCTTGGAGTTTTTCAGCAACAACAGCAATCTTTATTCACACTATTCAGGCACAAAAGAACGGTAAGACACAAAAAAAACTATACAAAACGTAATGATAGATTATATAACTATATGTTCAATTTGAGTCAGTGTGCAACAGCCAAAGTAGCAAAGCTTTCGAGTTGGCTGCTGCTTATTTACAAATAAAGAAAGGAAGGAACGAAGGAAACAAATAATAATTAAGACTAAACTAATTCACAAAACAAGAAATGAAAACGGGAAGAGAATATCAAGTAATAAAGTGTATTATCGTTTGTCTCACGATGTAGTCACTGAGATGTAGATCGCGAC